ATGGCAGCCTTCCTTAATTATATTTTTACACTTCATTTGAAAGAGTTTATGCTCTTTTCTATTTTCCTCACTAGGATTTAACTTCCACTTTTTAAACTATGCCTTTTTGTGTCTCACTGCTTCTTTTACTTGCTTGTTCAGCCATGGTGGCACTTTTTTTGGTTCCCTTACTATGTTTTTTAATTTGGGGTTTACATTTAAGTTGAGCCTCTATTATGGTATCTTTGAAAAGTTTCCATGCAGCTTACAGGGGTTTTACTATTGGCACTGTACCTTTTAATTTCTCTTTAACTAACCTCCTCATTTTTGTGTAATTCCCCTTTCTGAAATTAAATGTCATATTGTTGGGTTGCTGTGGTGTTTTTTCCCACCACAGAGATGTTAAATTAAATTATATTATAGTCACTATTTCCAAGTGGTCCAGCTATAGTCACTCTTGGACCAGATCCTGTGCTCCACTTCAGACTAAATCAAGAATTGCCTCTCTTCTTGTGAGTTCCAGAATCAGCTGCTCCAAGAAGTGGTCATTTAAGGTGTCAAGAAACTTTCTCTCTGCATCCCATTCTGAGATGATATACACTCAGTCTATATAGGGATAGATGAAATACCCTATTATTATTGAGGGTTTTTTTTTTTCATTTTTATAGCCTCTCTAATCTCCCTCTACATTTCACAGTCACTATCACCATCCTGGTCAGGTGGTCAGAAATGCATCCCTACTACTATATTCATATTATTAGAGAATTACTATCCACAAAGATTCTATGGAACAGTTTGGTTCATTTACGATTTTTACTTCATTTGAATCTAAGCTTTCTTTCACATGTATTGCCACTCCCCCACCAGCACAACCTGTTCTGTCCTTCGGAAATATTTCATACCCTGCTATTACTGTGTCCCATTGATTATTCTTATTCCACCAAGTTTTTGTTATGCCTATTTTATCAATATCCTTATTCAATACCAGTTCATCCAGCTTATTATTTAGACTTCTAGCATTTGTATATAAGCACTTTAAAAACGTGTCACTATTTAGCTGCCATTGCATGATGGGACTCTTTCATGTGCCTATTTTTCATCAGATCTTACTTATAGTTTATTATCTTCCATGCTCTCCTTTTTACTAAACCATAGAAAAGCTCTTTTAATAGATCCTCCCCTAAGGGATGTCTCTGTCCAATCCATGTACCTCTCCACACCTGTCAGCTTTCCCTCAGCCCTAAGACCAGGTTCACACTAGAGCCAGAAGGTCAGCTTAAGATACGCAACTCCAGTTACAGAAATAACGTAGCTGGAGAGCTTGGCACAGTCTCCACAGCAGGAGGTCGATGGGAGAAATACTCCCACCAACTTTCCTTAATCCTCACAACAGGGAGGAGTACTGGAACTGATGGTGCAGCTCTCAGCATTCAATTTAGTGAGTCTTTTCTAGAGTGAACCTTAGAAGATCGATCACCAGAATGAGGATCCTCGGATACCTGGAGAAGGGCCTTAGTTAAAAAACTGCTCTGCAACCTTCTTACTGTTAAGGACCAACAATCAGGTTCCATGCGGTGGAGCCCAACCTTGCTATATTTCTATTGCTGCAGATCTGCCACGCTGTCCCCAACCGGCTCCTTTATTCCCTTCATTTCTCTCCCTCCCTCCTCCTGCTTCCCTCCAGCCCCACAGTAAGGGGGCAGGCTGGGTGGCCAGAGCAGAAAGGGTCACAGGCTTGGGAGGAAGAGCAGGTTGGGGGAAGGTGGGACTGAGGCGGGAGGAGGAGGAGAGTGGGGGAACTAGATCGACCCCCCCCCCTCTTCCCTGGCTTGGGG